TTTCCTGGGTCTCATCCTTCATCTCCAGCACAGCCTGTGGCAGGATTCATGTTTGGGCGACTGCATTTGTGCACAGAAACCCTCCTAGCCATGCTGTGTGTCTGTACAGCCAGTCTGTGCCTAGAAAGACCTTCACCGCCTCCATGAGGTGACCTACTGAAGTAAAATTCTATTTGCTTCCCAGTGTCTCTTATTTTGTGTGTCTAGATGATCGGGTAGTGAGGTGAATTGTGAACTGGTTGAAGGAAAGAAGTCAGAGAGTTGTGGTCAATAGGACAGAGTCCAGTTGGAGGCCTGTATCTTGTGGAGACCCTTAGGGGTTGATACTGGGAGCAGTACTATTCAATATAGTCATCAGTGACCTGGACAAGGGAACAGAGTGCACTGTCAGCAAGTTTGCTGACTACACAAAACTGGGAGGAGTGGCTGACGCTCCAGAAGGCTGGGCTGCCATTCAGCAAAATCTGGACAGGTTGGAGAGTCGGGCACGGGAAAATTTAATGAAAGTCAACAAGGCCAAGTGTAGGATCTTGCATCTGGGAAAGAACAACCCCATGTACCAGTATAGGTTGGGGACTGACCTGTTAGGGAGCAGCACAGGGGAAAGGGACCTGGGGGTGCTGGTGGACAGCAGGATGACCATGAGCCATCAATGTGCCCTTGCGGCCAAGAAGGCCAGTGGCATCCTGGGGTTTATTAGAAGGGGTGTGGTGAGTAGGTTGAGAGAGGTTCTCCCCCCCCTCTGCCCTGCTGAGACCACATCTAGGCAGTTCTGAGATGAGTTCTGGGCCCCTCAGTTCTAGAAGGACAGGGAATTGCTTGAAAGAGTCCAGTGCAAAGCCACAAAGATGACTGAGAGAGTGGAGCATCTCCCTTCTGAGGAGTGGCTGAGGGAGCTGTGACTCTTTAGCTTGGAGAAGAGGAGACTGAGGGGTGACCCCATTAATGTTTATATATTTGTAAAGGGCAAGTGTCAGGAGGAAGGAGCCAGGCTCATCTCAGTGACAGCCAATGATAGGACAAGGGGCAATGGGAGCAAGCTGGAGCATAGGAGGTTCAATCTGAACAGGAGGAAAAACTTTTTCACTGTAAGGGTTACAGAGCACTGAACAGGCTGCCCAGAGAGGTTGTGGAGGCTCCTTCTCTGGAGACATTCAAAACCTGCCTGGACGTGTTCCTGTGTGACCTGCTCTGGGTGATCCTGCTCTGGCAGGGGGGTTGGACTGGATGATCTTTCGAGGTCCCTTCCAACTCTTAATATTCTGTGATTTTCTGATAGGGTTGATGTGGGCAGCAATAACAATGAAGTTATGAATCCTCTGGGGCTTCGATTTCTCACCTGGCTGCCAGATGACAGCTTCCTGGTGGTTGGTCAAGGTCACCATGCTGCTCAGTCTGTCCTTCACCATCTGACTGCAGTGCCTACTGTGGCTGGAGCTGAAGAGGAGCACCTGAATTTGCGGTACTAGAGTTCTGTCAGTTGTGGTTGATGTCTGATGTCGCCTCTGGACAGTGCCTAGAAGGAATTATGTCTCTCAGTAGACATGCAGCCTGGAGGCTGTGGGTTGGGGAATTCAGCTCTTTTCCTGCAGGAGAACCCAACAGTTCATGAAGCTGCCTACTGTTCAGCATTTGCCTGTAATCCTAATGCCTACACCCAACCTGACAAGAGGGTGTATGCTAGCATACATGAGTATAGCTAGCATACAGGATAGCTCTTTTCCTTTGTCTGAATTTCAGGACTTCAGGGGACTGAATTCTTTCATTCTACTCATTTTTCACCATTATCAGGGTCCAGAAGGAGACTGCTAGCCCTTGTTACTCCTGTCATCCTCCTCCTCACTTGCTGGACTCTGAGGGGTCAGTTTTAACCAGATCACAAAAGGAAGCTACCTGCCATGCAGAAACTGCTTCCCAAAGGGATCCCAAGAGTTGCTTTCTGCAGCACTCACACAGCAGAGACAGGCTCATTTGCATATGAACTGTAGATTAGAACAAGAGAGGTGTGGGCTCTGCAGAGTGCTGTAAGTATGCAGACAGTGACTAGCACAGTTAGGCAAGTGCCTGTTGGCTGGAGTTGCTGGGGCTCTGTCTTAGTAGTATCAGGTGATATAGGTGTGAAAAGACTTCAGAAGATTCTTACATGAACCACATATCTGTCTGTGCTGGAGATGTGTATCTTTCCACAGAGCCACAAGAAATGCAGTATGTAGGTGTTAAATGTGTCTTCTGTGACTGATGTTCTATGTCTTCTTTGTCTTACTCCAGGTTGTCTTTGCCTGTAGATGGAGAAGTTACCAGCCTGTGCTGCAGCCCAGTGACCAGAACTGTAGCTTTGCAGCTTGCTGATAGACAGATCCTGAAATACCTCTGGGGTGAGCTGAGCCCTATTAAAGTACCTGGTCTGAGATGTAGCTATTACAGATTTCTCAAGAGGTTTAATGAGATTATTTGACTTTCAGGGACATGAGTGACTCTTGCTGGTAGTTGATTCTGCCTTTCGTGCTCACTCTGCTCCCTGAAATGGACTGAAATTAGTGATTTGTGTCAGAAAGCAGTTAATGCTGTTGAGAATGATAGTTCAGACTTCATGATTTGAAAATAAGATGGTTGGTTTAATGATTTCAGAAGTGCTGACTGACTGCCATGTCCTTGGTACTTCTGTCTTGTTCCACAATGTAATAAAAGTGCTGCTGAGCTCCTAGAAGTTGCCACCTTCTTGTCTGCTGTATGCTGGACTTTTGTGTCAGTATTTGTCTTCTGTTACACAGTGTAGCTTATTGACAGTTTTAGTTTTTCTGAGATACATGATGTGTGGTTGTAATGTCTGAATCTTTGACTAGAAAACAGTTTGATCTTCTTTGTTTTTTAGAGGCTTCTACTCCAGTCCTTGAGCCCTGGCAGGCTAGCAATGGATCTGCTGTTCGGTTTCCCTACCCCTGTGTGCAGACTTCTATCACGAGGATCAGTGGTGAAGTAAGTAAAACTGTGAGCAGATTACATTCCCTACTCAGTTGTTCTCTGTGTCAGATGTGCACCATGATCCTCTGCTCAGGGTCCAGTGATAGTTCTTAACATCGTTCTTCATAAGGGCCTGTGCAGAGCTGAGAGCACATCTTTCCTTAATCTTTTAGAGCATTTCTGATGTTTTGCAGTTAACAGTCTCCCCATTCTATGAATACAATGAATAATGTCACTGAAGAGCAAGAAATTTCCAGCAGTTACTGCCCTGCTCTTTTTGGAAACAGCATTTTGCTCTGTTTTATCTGAACTTACCCTATTAGCAAATATGGCTGCATTAAGTTACTGCAGGTCTCCTACTACTGGTGTTTCCTATTGGTGATGGTTTCTTAATAGTTACAACAGCTTAGGGAATGACTAGCTGTTTCTTTCCATCAGTGTGCATCTAAATGAATGCTGTATGGAGCTGCTTTGCTTTGTTCTGTACCTAGTGCTTTTTCCTCTGGTATTTTGGACCAAATGCTGTAACGTAATTTTTCTGGTGTGGTTTCTGCTTTTATTTTGTTACTGTAAAGTTTCTGTTACAGGGTAGACCAAGCTGCATTTCAGCCAAAAGTGTTTAAAGACACTTAAGTAAGCCCTCCTGGTATAGAGGTTGCATGACTTCCTGTCCAGCTTCTAAGTAATACATGTGAGGTACTCAGTACCTAATTCTAAGGTGCTTCAATCCAGTGTGAGTCAGTGGTGTGAAACGCTGGAGATTGTGGCACTGATAGCTTATACTTGTCATCATTTTATTTACAGGAGATGATCTTGGGCCTCACAGATCGATGCCGGTTTTTTGTTAATGATACTGAGGTACTGAAGTTTTTGTCCCTCCTTGCATCTCCTTTTCTTCTGCCAAAGGCAGCTTTCCTATTCCACTCTATACAGTGACAAACGTCATCATTTTTCTACAGGTTGCTTCCAACATCACCTCATTTGCAACATACAATGAGTTTTTATTGGTGACAACCAGTTCCCACACCTGTCAGTGCTTCTGCTTGAAGAACGTATCAGTGAAAGGTAAATGCCAGCTCTGGCTACGTGCTGCTGGCAGCACGTGGCCATTGTTTTGAAATCACAAGATGTCCCTATTTTTCACATCCAAACCTGCTGTATCTGGGTCACTCAGAGCAGCTGCTTAAGAGATGGAGAAAGAGAGCTGCTTTCAAAAATACATCAAAGAACAAGGAACACAGGGAACTGTCTTCACATATCACATGTTCCTCCCAGGGAGCAGGGTGTGTCCTGTAGTTATTCCTTCACTGGTTTCAGCAGCTTTGCCCTGCTTTCTCTCCCTCTCCTCCACATCCAAAAAAGAAAGCGCTATGTGTAGGGCTATGTGAGGATGTGTGGTAAAGAAGGGATTCCACAGAAAGAGTTTCTGGTGGCATCTGGCTATGAAAGGTATGAGAACCGTGGGAAAGGCAGGATGACAACTTACTGGTCCTTTACATCTTTCAGTGCTCCTTTCATCTGATCTGTTTTGTTTTATGATCCTCGTGTATAGAGGACATATCTCTACTTCATGTACAGCAGTGATCCTCTTCCTGTCTGGAATCATTGAAGATCACTGGTGTATTGTTGACTTAGTTGGTCCAGTTGTCCCTTGCAGTGCCACATAAGAAAGCCTGATGGGGGCACTGTGTTGCGGCGTGCCTTGTGTGCTGATAAATCCTCCTGTCTTCAGCCCTTCAGGCTGGCCTGAGCAGTCCTGCTGCACCCAACAGTGAGACCTTGCGCAAGGTGGAGCGAGGTTCGCGTATCATCACCATTACACCCCAGGACACAAAGGTTGTGCTGCAGGTCAGTGCTCTGCCAGTGTCTGTTGAAGTCTGCTATTGGGCCTAGTGGGGCCATCTTAGTGGGTAGCTGGCTAACCTGCAGACAATGCGTGCAGTGCTACAAAGCTGCTGCCCTGTACTGCTGCAGCACAGCACCTCACAAATCTCCAGCTGCCTGGCTGGGTGCAGACAGATTTTGAGCATGCCTGTGGGAGTTGGGTTCAGCACAGGCAGCTGGATATATGCAAACTTGGGAATGGCTATTCAAATTCCTAATGGCTGAGGTAGCATAGTGCTACATACTGTGGCCTTTCATGGTGAATCTCAAATTCACCTCAGTACTTGTTGTATTTGCTAGCAGCCCTCCAGTAGCCTTAGCACTGTTTGTCTGAATGCTGAGCTTGCTCTTCAGAACCAGCAGAGGTTCTCAGAATGGAGAAGGATGTCAATTGAAAGGCACCTCTGGAGGTGTGTAGCCCAACATCTTCATCAAAGGAGGGCTAACCTGAAGGCATGATCAGGTTGCTCTGGGTCTTACCTCATTCAGTGGAGTCCAGCCTCCTGAGGTAGGAATGTTTCTGAGCTGAGAGAATTTTCTGGTATTTTTCCACAGTTGTTGAAATTGCATGTACTTTGAAGTGAGTAAACAGGCCCATGCACCTACAAGTAGCAGAGAGGCCTAAAGAATTGGCCAGTTCTCACTTTGCCTTCAATGTAAGCAGAGTAAGTACAAATAAATGATTGTGTCTGTCTTGTGTTATAGATGCCTAGAGGAAATCTGGAGACTGTTCACCACCGAGCTCTTGTTCTTGCCCAGATTCGAAAGTGGCTGGACAGGTAAATGGCACTGGTGTATTCTGGTATTCCCTCCCCCCGGTCTGAGCTGTTAGAGGCTGGCTGGCCTGGTTTTATTGTGTAGGAAAGGGGAGGAAGGCTAAACTCAAAGGAATTTACTTTGTAAGTGGGAGTAGATCTGTTTCTGAGGCTACCAGCTAGAAGACCAACTTTCAGCAGTTCCAGGTGTCTCTCACTTCACCACTGAAGGGCTTATATGTGTGTGAGACTGTGTGGGTGGCAAAAATCTTCATTTGCTCCATTCTGCAGACATCTCAATCACTTAATGATGAAGCACGCTGGTCTTAATGTTTAATTGATTTACATTGAAGTTTTCTGAAACAGAAGTCGGTCCATTAGATTAAAATGTAGTTCTGTTTTAAGAGAGGAAAAAAATTCATGCAAGGCCTATATTGCATCCTTAGCCTGGCATGCTGGTCGGTCTGTCCCATTGCAGAGGATGGCAACAAACAGGATTAACCTTGCACATTTTTTCTGGAAGGCAATTTGCATGGCTTTACATTGCCTGGGCTATTCCTTTCCCAAGGGGTCTTTCCTTACCTCCAGTCAGTAGCCTTTATTTGCAGATACTGAACCTATCCACTGTGTAAACTATGCCACTTGACTCATTCCTCCAGACTTATGTTCAAGGAAGCATTTCAGTGTATGAGGAAGCTGCGAATCAACCTCAATCTTCTCTATGACCACAATCCCAAGGCAAGTATGCCAAGTTCTGTTGCGTTGTTTTCTATATCCATCTAGCCTAAAATCCACTGACATTGAACATTGCTCAAAGGAGTAGATGGTGCTGTCTGTCTTCTTTCAGCAGAGATGGCTGCTCTGCACTGCTGCATCCTCATGCATTTCCTTTATCTTCTTCATTCAGAGAAGGTCTTTGAATTCATTCTTGTACTTAATGTACTTGTTCAGAATAACAGTAGTAATACTCTTGTTTATTTCAGGTATTTCTGGAAAACGCAGAAACCTTTATCAGACAAATAGATTCTGTGAACTATATCAACTTGTTTTTCACAGAATTGAAGTGAGTATAGTTCTGCAAATGGAAGCATGCACATAATCAGTGTTGGTACATTATTTTCTCAAAATATTAGCAGCTCTTCAATGCAGGTGCTGGAAGTAGTCAGAAATCTGTCATGTCAGGTCATAAAGATTTGAGTAAACTCAGTAGTTTCAGGGACGGTTGGTGTGTCTTGGAAATTCCAGCTTGCAGGCAGCTATTAGATTTTTCCAGCAAGAGATTAGTACATCATCTGGCTGCCTTGACTTTTCTGGTTTGCGGTACAGGGGTAAATGTGAACAGAGCAGGTTTTGTTCCCTCATAAAGTGGAGTAAGGCAGCACTGCTTATATGAAGCCCAAGGCCAAGATACTTGCTTAGATTCTCAAATCAGGTCCCCTGATTTCTTTCTCAAAGGCTGAGTGACAAGAGGCTTTAGGGCATTGGTAGCTTCAGGACTTCTCAAGCTTGCTGAAGTAAGTAATTGTTAAGGAGCTCAAGCTATCACTCAGTAGCATTCTGTTTTCTTTTCAGTTTTGACGTGACCTTAAATCTTTGTCTAGAAATAACAGTGGATGCCTTTATTTTCAGAAGTGTTCTGTGTTCAGCATCTCCATAGTGGATTTAGTAGGAGGAAGCTGTATCTTGAAAATCTCGCTTTCTCGTTTTTTGTGCAACTAAAATAGGTGTTCTGACCAGTTTTTTTCAATGCCTGTCTTGGCTGAGAATCAATAGGGATGGATGAGAGATGTTGAAGAGCTTCCTGGTAGTGTGACAGGCTGTGTGTCAATACTGAATGACATGAGCTATTTTGTTGAGTAGTTATTTTCTGCATACATTTGTGTTTCTCAGTGTTCCTAATGAAATGTCTTTGTGCTGAGCTATGTGATGCTGGTATTCATGGTATCTGTTTTTATTTAGAGAAGAAGATTTCACGAAGAGTATGTACCCATATCTGAATGGTAGCAGTAGTGCTCAACCATGCCAGCATCCTGATCAGAAAAAAGTAAACCTCGTCTGTGATGTCATGAGAGTTGCCATGGAACACATTGACCCTCAAAAGTGAGCATTTTCATATTGTATGTGAAGGAACCATTAGAGAGATTTCTAGTAAGTCGTTTGCGGAAAGCAAAGCTGTGCTTAACATCAGCTATTTTGCATCAGATCCTCTGAGGTGAGCCTGCGCTGCATGAAACTGACATAGTCCTACCTTCCGTCTTCTGTCCTTAAAACCACAGCATCTAATAAATCCACAGATAGCAGAACAACTTTTTACTAGTATAATTAAAGCAATAGATGCAGTATTGCTTATAAGGGTTTAAGAAGCACACTCAATTTAAGAACAGTACATGTGGCATAGAGGTCAGAGAGTTATGAGCGAGATTGCCATCTCAGGGAGATACTGATTTTGTGGAGCAGCTGGCCTGTTGGAAAGATCTCAGCTGTTCAATTTGAGACTGAATTACTTTTTTGTAAATCTTCAGCCACATTTTTCTGAATTATTACCTTTTTGGTAACCATCTTCCTTGAATGAATCAATACCAGACAGGGGTGAAGGGTGAGAAAATAGGATAATAACAGTGGTTAGTGAAGCAGTGTTAAACCATTGGCAGCTCATATGTTAAACAGTGGATAGAGGAGCAACAGATGGTGGGTTGCTGCTAAACCCTGAAAATTTAGACACTTTACAGCAAACGGTTTCCCCTTAGCTGGGAAAACTGTTTTGAGGTAGTATGTGCAAAATGTATGAAAATAGAAATAACCTCCTGGAAAGCTTCCTTTTATAGAAAAGACCATTTTCATGACAAATTTGATTTGGAAAACTGTGTCCAGCTATCTGAGCTTTCAGAGAGAGGTGTTCTCTCTCCATTATGCTGACTGGTATGATAAGAAAGCTCATTCTACTCAAAACACATCTCCAGTCACATGACATGTTTGGGGAAACATGCTGAGTAGAAAATCTGTTCTGGTGTATTCTGTTCTTGTCTCATTTTTCCTGTCTTCCTTTAAAAAGATTGAAGTACCTGAATAGTTTGGGGTTGGTTTTATTATAACTAAAATATAAACTAGAACTTGCACAAACTATGCTAAAATAGGAATAACAGGTGTTTCTGTCTTCTTGCTTTTTCATTCACTGCTTCTGTTTTCTTCAGATACTGCCTATCAATACTGACAGCACATGTAAAGAAAAGTCCTCCAGAATTGGAAATTGCTCTCCAGAAGGTTCATGATCTTCGAGGTGCTGTATCAGGAACTCAGGATTTGAAAATTGTTGGTTTACAGGAAATTTCATTACTAGCATGCTTCACTGTGAAAGTTATTTTAAGGTGGCTGTTCATGTAGTCAGCCAGAAAACAGAAATAGACTTGAAACTAGCTGTTTTCTTAATGGAACAGCATGTCAGCAGATAATTCAGTTGCAGCTGTTTTCTCTTTCCAGTCAGAACTCTGGTTCTGCCAGCACTGAACAGGAGGTTTCCATTCTGGAGCCTGGTATTTCAAATTGGCAAACTTAGTTTATATTCTGTGCTGATACTTCTTCTACTTGTCACTGTTATACACTTACGTTACTATGCTTGAAGTTGCCCAGGAAAGGCAAAGTAACACCTCCTGCAAGACAGAATGAGCCATTAGTTTGATGGTCCCTATCTAGTGTCAAGGATGTGCTTGATAATGGATCCATCTCTCAGACTGGGGTTCCACTGCCGAAGGTGTAACTGATCATGTTTCTTTATCTTGTTACAGAAAGCATTACTCCAGATGCCAAAGCTGTGAGTGCAGAAGAAGCACTGAAGTACCTGCTTTTCCTTGTGGATGTCAATGAATTGTATGATTATTCCTTGGGGACATATGACTTCAATTTAGTCATCATGGTGGCAGAAAAGTCTCAAAAGGTCTTGGCTTATGGTTCCAGCCAAGGAACTACTTTTCTACTTTCCCAAAGGTTCTTTGTAGTCTGCGGATCAGCCCACGTGATTTGTTATAGCTCTCTACCCAGACAGGATTCCAGGTTCTCGTAACTGCTGTGTGTGCTTCAGATGATGCTGGGAAGGTAGCATGTCTCTGCGTCCCTTAGTACTTTTTGAGCACAGCTTTGGGAACTTGCTTGTAGTCAAGGTGCAATAGGGCTTCTCTAGATCAGAATGGCAAAGTAGCTCTAGGGAGGGGAGTTACTGTGGTCTGAAGTGTTGCGACTGCGTGCCTTACTTTCCCAGTTCTGTACTCTTTTGATTATTGCTTATTTGGTGGTGGCCACAATAATTGGGTGTTTAATTTGAAATTTCTGAATGGAAATGCCCATCAGGATCTCCAGAGCTTCCTAATGTTACAGCAAAGCCTGCTGTCCATCAATTAAAATGCCCTATTCATGTTAACAGGTTTTATGAGCTTTGGTGTGGTTGGCTTTACAGCAGAAAATTTATACATTAAAATAGCTAATATAAACCAGTATTTGATATGATACATGGCCTTAAATTTTAAATGTCTGTAGGCTTTAGGTACTACTGAAGTCCATGTGGGAGTCTGATAATTTAAGTTAGTCATTCCTGGCAAGAGTGTGTATAGAGAATTGATTTTCCAGGGAGCAACCTGATCTAGTAACATTACCCCTGCTTACTGCAGCGGGGTTGGAACAGATGATCTTTGAAGGTCCCTTCCAACTCAGTACATTCAGTGATTTCATGATTCTTTAAGATGGCTTACATTATTTTTTCAAAAAAGGTGTTTTTTGTGTACTATCCTATAATTTCAAATAAGGGACTGTTTGTTGGTGAAGATGAGGGCAAATAAGGATCTTGCCAGATTAGCTCAACTGCAGTTTTTGGTATTTTTTGCAGGACCCAAAAGAATACTTGCCCTTCTTAAATACCCTCCGGAAAATGGAAACCAATTATCAGCGATATACAATAGACAGACACTTGAAGAGATACACAAAAGCTCTTGGGCATCTCAGCAAATGTGGTAGGTGTACTGCACATGCAGCATCTCTAAGGAGAAATTCTGCAGTGGAGCATTTCCATTTTGGAGCATCTTTAGGAGGAAAATCATGAAAGAAACTTTTACAAGGTTGCACAAGATCATCTTCCCTCCTGGTAGTGCATGGTTAACTTATTTCTGCTACGTGTTTTTTGTAGTGTAGCTTGGTGCAGGGAGAAAGGAGTGAGAATGTTTACTACTGTGCGATCACGAGACATAAGTCTTGTTTTGTTCCTGTTGTAGGTGACTTGTCCCCAGTTAATGTTGCTGGCAAAAGTGGAGCAAACCTCAGGGAAGGGAATGCTTTGATTTTACAGTAGTAGAATAGGTGCTTTTGGGCTCTTCCACCCAAGTGTCTCTTGTTGCTTCTTAATGCAACGAACCCAGACTGGCTGGGAGCTGTGAGAGCCACTTGTTTTTTATTGCTATGTAAAAATAATTTATTACTGCAGGTTCTGAACACTTCTCTGAATTTCTGAACTTGGTGAAGGATCAGAATCAGTACTGTGAAGCCTTGAAGCTGTACCCCTCAAGCACTCAGGAGTACAAGGTATGTAACCACGTGACACTGCAGCATGCAAGCTCTTTATTCTCTCACATGTGTGTTTGCACATCCTCGGCATCTTGAGTGAGGGCAGGAATGAGAGAGCAGCTGCTTACGTTCAAGTTCTGCAGGTCATTGCTACTCCTGTGTTGTCTGAGACCCTCGTCTGAGATAACAGCTGGAATGGCTCTCAGTACTGATGCTGCAGGGTCTGGTCATTGAAGGAGTGGCTGTTACTTCTTTGATTCCATGACCGAGAGAGCACCTGGTTTCTGCTGCACTATCTTGTGGTATGCTGAAGAGCTCCCATTACCACAGAAAAAGTTTTCTTCATGTTTTGACCTTTGTGATACCAGCTTTCTGTCTGGCATTTGCAGGTTATGTGGGGACACTTTGTTATCCTTAAACTACTCTGAAGAGTGCTAGAGAGCTTGGGACACTTGCAGATGTGCCATTTCCTAGCATGTAATGTTCTTTGTTGGTTTCAGTATTACTGAAGGACTTTAGTTTGCCTGAATTTGAGGTAAAATGTAAATGAATGCATTTAATATAATTTAAGTTAGATATTGTAAATACACAAGCCTATATAAAAGAAGTAGTTGAAGAAGCAAGAGTGGAAATAGACAAACTCAGTCTGTGACACAGTGAAAGCAGAAAGGATTCTTTCTTGTGAGGGAGGTCTGTTCCTTACTCTGGCTCATTGGTAGTCTTTCTTTATTACTTCTAAAATCTTCCAGTCAAATCCACTGTTCCTTCTTGATGGAGATTGTGAGCTTTGAAGAGCATAGTGAAGCTCAGGATATTGATTCACAGCAACCTGTGCCTACAGAATTGCAGGGCTTGCATCCTCCCTTGTGCCAGTGTTTGACTCCTGGAGTAAGTTGGTTCAGGGAGACATTCTAACAAAAACTGCTCATATGTGTGGGGGAAGAATGTGCTGATTTCCTGCAGTATGTAATTTGCCCAGCCTTTGACTTGGAGAATTAGGTACCTCTTCATGCTCTGTGAAATGTTTCCGCAATCATCAGCCCTTGCCTTGATATAAAGCTTGAAATGTGGTAGGAATATTGTGCCTGGAGGTTCCTTTGGGGGAGGGGTAAATAGGCTTTTGTTGATAAGCACTTATTTTTTTACTGACGGAAGACTGCTATTGACTCTACAGCTGATTTCTTACTTATTTTTGTCCCTTTCTTGCAGGATATCAGCAATGCATATGGGGAGTACTTAATTCAGAAGCAGCTATATGAACAGGCTGCGTTGGTATTTGCTCGTGCTGGCATCTTTGCAAAAGCACTTGATGCTTTTCAGAACAGTGGCAGCTGGCAGCAAGCCCTGTGCGTGGCGTCACAGCTTGATTACACAAAGGATGAACTGTCCAGCCTGGCACAGACCATGGCAGGTAGGCCTTGAGGAGATGGAAATGTGAAGACCAAAACTAGCTGCTGTTATTTTTGGTTCTTTTTTATTTTCCCTGAAATATAGTGAAAACCTCCGTCTTTAGCAGTGTTTTTCTTAAATAGAGAGCAAAGATCACATGTTTCACAAGGGTTTGCATGATGGCACATCGCCTTTGTTTCTCTAAGAAACCAGAAGAAGTTGGAGCTGAGCTGATAGGCACCCAGGAGTTGCCAAGCTGGCTATGGCCTTGGCTGCCCTATGCTGACTACTTCGTGCACTTTTTCATTGCAGCTGGTTGCTGAACTGTGCTATTCCAAATTGCCCCTTGGTTAATCTCAGGGAATGAAGATTTTTTTTTTTAAGTGTCTGACATAACTGAGGCCTTTTGTTATTGTTGACATAAGTACTGTGCCTAGTCACAGACCATAAAGGCAATTGGATAATTCAGAGCTGCATCTTCATGCCTTCTTATTAAAGCCTGCTAGCAGCTAGGACCAGCTGGTACATGTAAACCTATAGGCCATCCTAGTACAGGAGAAAAAGATAGCTGGTCTCAGAATTTGTGCTTACGGGGACGTACCAGACTGCACACTTCAGATGTGTCATGAACCTGGCATATATTTCGGTAGCATGAGCAGAGCATCATCCTGACTTCTGTGTTACTCAGAGGCAGAATTTGTCACAGAATCACAGAATATTAGGAGTTGGAAGGGACCTCTGAAGATCATCCAGTCCAACCCCCCTGCCAGAGCAGAATCACCTAAACTAGGTCACACAGGAACACGTCCAGGCGGGTTTTTAATGTCTTCAGAGAAGGAGACTCCACAGCCTCTCTGGGCAGCCTGTTCAGTGCTTTGGCACCCTCACAGTGAAGAAGTTTTTCCTCCTGTTCAGATTGAACCTCCTATGCTCTAGCTTGCTCCCATTGCCCCTTGTCCTATCATTGGCTGTCACTGAGATGAGCCTGGCTCCTTCCTTCTGACACTTGCCCTTTACAAATATATAAACATTAATGAGGTCACCCCTCAGTCTCCTCTTTTTCAAGCTAAAGAGACCCAGCTCCCTCAGCCACTCCTCAGAAGGAAGATGCTCCACTCTCTCAGTCATCTTTGTGGCTCTGCCCTGGACTCTTTCAAGCAACTCCCTGTCCTTCTTGAACTGAGGGGCCCAGAACTGGACACAATATTCCAGATGTGGTCTCAGCAGGGCAGAGTAGAGGGGAAGGAGAACCTCTCTCGACCTACTACCAGCACCCCTTCTAGTACACCCCAGGATGCCATTGGCCTTCTTGGCCGCAAGGGCACATTGCTGGCTCATGGTCATCCTGCTGTCCACCAACACCCCCAGGTCATTTTCTGCCTGTTATGAAGGACCTGTTTACACAGTGAGAATGTGGCTCCTGGGAGTGTAGTCTTTCTGTCACTTAATGTGATTTGGATCCTTCATGTCTTGACTGTAATACTTTTTCTGGTGCCTCTCTTAAACAACAACTGTAGTTTAGCAAAATGAGCAGACAGAAGCTTTCATGGATAAGATTGCTTTGCTTGGGTAATTTTTCTTTCCTTGCGCTGTGTATCACTTGCTCTATTATATTGTATCCTAGCGTATGAACTAGTGCCAAAGCTGGTTCTGAGTTTTAGGGTACTAGAAGCCCTGAATCCCACAAGCTTGATTGTTGCTGTCCATACCAAAGAGAGCAGGCAACAGAGATTGTTCACTACTTCTGTCTCAGACTGGGGGGAAAACATTCTTCAGCTGGCCTCATGGCACTTGCACCAGAAACTTCACACGCAACTGTCTGATGGTGTTAAATTAATGAATTCTTGACATCAGGCAGCCTGTCTTTTTACTGGGCAGATTGAGTAAGCATGTGAGCAGGTAGAAAGTGCCTCAGTGTGTGGGATTTTCCTCTACTTTCTTACTTTGTGGCACAAAATCCAGCTCCTTCTGGAAAGCTGAATTCTGCCTTTTATTGTAGGAAAACTAGTTGAACAGAGAAAGCATGCAGAGGCAGCCATACTCTTGGAGCAGTACACTCAGGTAATGTAATCACCCTCCTGTCTGTGCCCCAGTAATATCCTCTGTCAAAGATACACACCATCTGTACTTTCTCTATTCTCCTGGGTCACGTGTAGCTCCATGCATGCTGACAGCAAAACAGTCTGTGCCATGGGCTCTCTTGGGGAGGGCAGAGCAGGTTCAGGTGATGCAGTGAGCAGGGTGTGGGTTAATACTCTTTCAACCATGAAGCTGCCTCTGCTTTGATACGAAAGTCTTTTGTCTCAGCAGAAGCATGAAGGCTGGAGAAAGGAAGACATAGTTCCAGAGGGATTTCCCCTCAGCGTGGGATAAGAAACATAGATTTGGGTTTTTTTTTTCATGTCAGGACTTCAAAGTACCTGGCACAGTTGTATTTTCCTGTCCTGACTGTGACACTGCTACATAGAAATGTTTTTCTGAATAGCTGCTGAATATGTATTACTAGCATCAGTAGCAGTACATGGTTGCTCTTTCCTTCTAGGACTATGAAGAGGCTGTTCTCCTGCTCTTGGAAGGGGCTCTCTGGGAAGAGGCTTTAAGACTGGTAAGACCTTTTGGAGCACAAGAACTAGAGTAGACATATTTCTTTAGAAGGCAAGAACAGAGGGATAGGATCTGGTTTAGATACCTAAATGATACCTTGTTTTCTTTCCCTGATCCAGATTCACAAGTATGGTAGACTGGATATCTTGGAGACCAACTTCAAACCTGCTATTCTGGAAGGTGAATCCATGCAAGAACCTGAGACATCTCTGTGCTATAGAGGCTGAAGAAAATCTTTACTGGGTCTATGGGAAGTCACAGCACTCCAATACTGGAAGCTGTATGGAAGGATGCTGCCTAGCTGATGCTGCCCATTTATCTGCATTTGGCTCTGCTAAATGCAGCTTGAAGCCCTGCGGTGTCATGATCTCTTTTTAGCTTAGTCAAGCTAAAAGCATTTGAGCTTTTCCAGACCTAACAGTCACAAACTGTAAGAGGGTCTGTGTCTGTGTGTCCATGAAGAAGCAGGACAGTCCTTGCTCCAGAGCACATGTAGCAGCAGAGCTGTGGAGTAAGCAAATGGCTGGCTATCCTATAAGTGTTTGAGTAGCTGTTGAGAAATATTTGATAGCTGTATCTCCCTTCTGTTCAGGAAGAACAGTTTGTTACGATTGATTGCTTTTCCTTTTCGTGCTATGGGCAGTAGGCTTTATGAGTTGAGGGTTGGTTTTTTTTTTTATTTCTTACCTAGTTGTTGTGAAGAGCTTTGACACCAGAGCTTTCTGTTTTTTCTGTATCAGAAACAGACTCTTGTTCTAGAAAACGTCTGGCAGGTTAATTCACTCTGCATCCAGGTGCATCTTGTTTGGCAGGCTTCTGTATTATAAGCTTTGAATTTCCTTCCACTTGAGTCCTTTTGTGTGTTTCACGCCTCATTTCTAAGCTCATTGAAGGACTGTGCTCCTTCAGACCTCTTTTGTAAAGAGTGCTTTTCTGGTTATTTTGCCCAAATGTTCATGTTCTGATTTTCTTATTGAGCAGCTCAGAAAAGTCAGCTGATCTTCCTAGATTCTCGGAAAACAGCATTTATTTGCCACAAGAGTCGCCTGCAAGTGGTCCGAGAGCTGAAGGAGAAGGCTTGTGAGTGCCTGCAGGGTTGGTATTGAAAGGCCATGATCATCTCTTTCGTTGTGGTTTCCTTTTGCCCCAGTGGAGCTGTGTTCTCTTCTAGCTCCAGTGGTACCTATAACAATGCAGTAGAACAGCATTATTCTTACCCCTTCCTCGCACTATAATTGGAGTGTCATTGCTTGACCTTGCTCATTCTGTAGAGACAGCTTTATTTTCAGTGCTATCTGTGTCAAAGCTTTCATGGGATCAAAATGCACCTGAAAGCTCTTCAAAGTTACACAGCATTGTCTCCACAGTGCCAGCTTGGCTAGATCCAACAGTGGCTTAGCGTGTCCTTTGTGCTGAGTACCTACTAGGTATATTCACCTGCCAGGCTACACAGGATCAGGGAAGTTTTCTGAAAGCAGAATGCTTTGTCATGGTCCAGATTTGCTACACTGAAGATTGTCTTCCCTCTGATTGTGCTGTTTAATATCACTATCCCCACTGAGGGAAAAGAGCAGTGTTCTTCTCACAATTGCTGTTTCTTCTTGTATGATGACTGAGTTGGGTTGAGAGCCGTAAGGCTCTGAAATGCTAGCAGGTAGAATAAATCTGCCCAAGCTGCTTTTCCAAGGAGCTACATAGATAACCCAGAGAAAAAGCTTGGCATAACTGACCTTTCTCCATACTTTGACAGTTGTTAACATATTTTGCAGATTATGAAATGCCAAATTACTCAGAATTGGATCTTTTCTCTGAAACCAGCAGTGTTGTGACACCCAGTGACATGAACAGCAAATATTCACACAGCAGTTCAAGAATATCAGCGTAGGTATCTGCGTCCAAATTAGATAGTGACTTCCCTGGCATCAGCATTTGGGAGGGCAGCTTGCTCGTGCTTGGCAACTCCTCACAGCTGTGCATGCCTTGAAGCTGCTTTAATTACAGACATTTCGTGGTTATTTTAACTCTTACTGAGAGGGCAAGAGCAGAAAATGCTAGATGCTACTAGTGCAAGAGGAACAGCAGAGAAGCTGTGAGCACAGACCCTGGGCAGGAGCTGGCTCTGGGGGTGTCAGGCTTGCTGCCACAATAGCTGGCTGTAGGAAGCTTGACACAGAATACGGGCAGAGCTCCTCAAACATTACCAGCTTGTATGCATGGCTTGTGCTTTTGTCCTAGGTTTTGCACTTGGTGGGTGGGGGTTGCTACTAAATTTCATATCAATATCTGGGCATCTGTCTTGCTTTTGAGTGCTCTGAAGAATGTGAGCTACAGTGTGTTAGAAGCTGGCATTTTCAGTGGGAACACTTCTGAATTCCTTAGATGAAATGTGAAAAATAGTTATGGGAAAAGTGTGCACTTTTTAGGGCACTTTCTGTGGCCCAGGTGAAAAGGGGAAGAGAATGCAACCTTAGTATTCAGCATACCTGTGTCAGAGTGTTCTGATTATTAGGGAACATAATGCAGCTAGTACTGGCCTGCAACTACAAGGTGCTTTCCTGTGATAATGAGCAGGAGCTGAGCTGTATTAGTGCACACCTTGTGGAGATAGCAGATATGAAAATGCACGCAGGCAAGCACAGAGCCTGGCAACAAATTGTTTTAAGTGAAGCTCAGCTTTGCCTGCTAGTGACTAGTGCCAAACAGTTTACCCTACTTTGTGCTTAGAGAATGCTTTGACCTTGCTGGAACACAAAGCAGTGCTTTTCATAGTAGAGAAAGAGCCCAACTACTGACTTTGTGTTTCAGACAACAAAGGATATTGGCTGAGTACCACTGAAAACATTGATATAAGGATACATGGCTTACATACAGTCCCCTCTCACTGGAGGGAGTAAGGACTTCAGTAACAAGCTTCATGCATGCTGTTGGTGTTCTTTCAGACTTACTCTGTTAAAGCTAATCCTGTTGTGCACACTGATTAAGCTTCCTCCTTTTCCAGGCGATCCTCAAAGAACCGGCGGAAGGCTGAGCGCAAGAGATACAGCTTGAAAGAGGGGAGTCCTTTTGAAGATATGGCCCTTCTGGAAGTCCTGGGAGAAAACATTCGTGCTGTTGAGACTGTGAAGGGTAGGACACTTCATGATCTTAATCCACTCCACAGCTTGTGAGAACAGTTGAGGCAGTGTGCCTCCTCTTGTTCTTAAAGGGTGTGGTGGGAAGAGGAGCTGCCTGGTTCATAAGACCATCTGTGTTGTACCTTGATTTAGTTCACCTGCCTCTGGGCCTGAAGGAACGTGTAATAGTGTGAGCTCTCCACATTTGAAGCCTGGGAGCAGAGAAGTGAGGGCTTGCCAGTGCTATGACAGATTTGTCTCACATTTGTGCTCAGGCACTGTAGGGGTTACGTAGGGACAGAACCAGTTCTTATTTGCTGCTCCCCATCCTGTGCCCTGATATTGGAGAAATACCGAGGCGAAGAGCTCCTGAGTGGA